GAGACTGTCTCCTGCTATGTGCGTGTGCAGCAATGGGACACGTGGCCCTGGTTAGGGCCTCTTGTTGCTACTGTAACACAAACACTAAGGGGTCGGATACAGGGTTGAGTAGCTGTGGCTCCCAGTTATGTCTGAGCTGAGGCAGAATGCTGGCAGCCGAGTTTTCTGGACACAGGTTCTGCTGCCTCTGGGACAAAGCAAGGATGGGAATAACACTGGGGTGGGAACAGGACAGATATCCACATGGAGACTATATCTTCACTAACTATGGGCAAATGCAGAACTGGTGTAAGCAAGTGTCACCCCCGCTGAAGCCAACTGATTTACATCTACTTACATCAGACATTTATCTGGCCCAGCATGGTCTCTGAGACTTAGCAATGGGGGAGAAATTTATCTGAGCACAATGGAATTTTGGATAAAACTGGCCCCAGATTTGATCCCCCAAGCAGTGGCTTCGGTTTGGCAAAAACAAAGTCACCCAAGTTTTGCACTAGCCCAGTAGGCGCAATAACAGTGAGATCTCACAGCATGCTAGTAACAGGGAGACCAAACTTCCCCAGCCTACGCACTAGAGGAAGAGTCAAGCCAAGGAAATTAACAGGTGTGGTGCTCAAAGCACACATCTGTCTGCCCCTTGAAATCGGTGGGAATATCTACAGAAAGTAGAAAACAGTGCGAGCAGGGAACATGGGACAGGAAAGGTCAGTTGTAAATGCTACTCTTACCCCTGGGGGAATTCTGCACCAAAAAAAATAAAATTCTGCGCACAATATTTTAAAATGTTGTATATTTTATTTGTCAAAATAACACAATATAATCATACCAGTTTCAATTATTTTGGTAATTTATTTCAAAATACCTGTCAGCAAGTATGTCTGTAACAATACAGACAACAAAACAGATTCAGGAAATGTTTTTTTGACAAATACTAGGCATATTAATACAGAACTCTGAGTAATCATTTAACTACAATACAAAACCACATTTCCTGCACCCCTCAGAAGCAGTGCAAAGGCTTGGTGGAGTTAGGGATAATGGAGGAGCTGTGGGTGAGGGAAGTAATTGCTGGGAAGGAGCCTGGGTGTGAACTTGGAGGGGTTTTGGGTATGGGTGGGAAAAGTATTGAACAGGGTTTTTTTGGGGGGGAGGAGGCAGTGGAAGGGATTGTTAGGGAGACCCATGAAGACCCGGCTGACCCCTAGCCTCTTCCATTCATTAAAACATTGAAAATATGTGCAACACATGAATTATGCACGCACTTAGTGACACAGAATTCCCCCAGGAGTACATTCTCCAGCCAATAGGAAGGCAAAACAGTACTATGTATGTGATCTCTCGCTGTGTCAGGTCACTGTCCCTCCATACCTAGCTCCCGCTGTGGGAACGACTCCAATGTCACAGTAAAGAATCTGGTGCAACCATCCCCTGGCGTGATGTTTGTCTTGTGTATTTGGAAGGCAGCACATTCTTTGTTATAGACTCTGCAAGGCATAAGATGTGAGTTGCTGAGATAAGGTAGTGAGCTGTGAGAGAAGTGCTCAAAGACAACTTGCCTTTAGTGAGCACCACAGAGCCTGGGACAGCAACAGCCCATCAGATGTACTTCTTGGCTACCTGCGGTTCCTCGTGTCCTGGAGAGTGTAGGCATGTTTCTCCTCGCTGGTGCTGACACTGCTCCTGGGGTCTCCAAACACAATGGAAGACTTGCTCTACAGAGAAACCACCTCTGAGTGATGCTGTCTGCTAACCAGCTAATTACAGGGGAAATAAGGACTTTGCTGACTGTCTCCACAAACACCCAGGCTTCCCCAGCACATACTCCATTCTGTGGTGCAGAAGCCATGAGGATCAAGGGCACACATCACCCCTTCATTGCCTTCTGGAGCTCCCAGTTCCAAGAGACTAGTCCTTCATTCTGGAAAGCTAACAATGCTGCTGGATAGGCCACTCCATGGATCAACAGGTGTTTTATTGGAAATCCAAGTGTGAATCTCTAGGTGGGGTGCACAGATTGGGATAGTTCTGACTAGCAGAGTCTAGATGAACACAGAGATGTCATAATTCTTTGCACTCATAGCACCTTAGCACATAGACTCAAAGGGTCTAAAACCTTAATTAATCCTCACAACACCCCTGTAAAGTGGAGACATTGGCCAATATTTTCAAAATTGAGCATCTAAAGCCATAGATGTCTGGCCTGAGCACCCACATCTCCCACTGAAGGGAATGGGGACCACTGGTGCCAAGGACCTCAGAGAATAAGGCCACTTACTTTGGCATCTGAATATGGATTTAGATACCCAACTATGCACCCACATTTGCCAACAGTCTCACAGCAAGTCAGAGCTGGGATTAGAACCTGGCAGTTGTGACACCCAGTCAAGATTCATGATATTCACTGCCACAGATACTGAGGCCAAGGGCTTGGAAGGGGCCAAGCAAGGACTGGATATTTATATGGACAATGAGAACAGCCAGCATTACAAATTGGATAAAACATGTACACGAGCTACAGATCCTCCTGCTTCAGGGCACAAGCCAACCACCAGCTGATGATGTTAGAAAACAGCTTCCCTTATAGATAGGTCATTACAGAGTAACCTGCACCTTCTTCTGAAGCAGGTGTTCAGAGACAAGACCACAGGACTGGCAATTCCTATGCTCCCCTCCCCATAGCTAACCACTAGGCTCCACTCCCATCAGGCTGCCTGAGTGGGCAGCAGTGTTTCAGAAGACTTAGTCCCATCATAATATGAATTGGAAGCAGCATGGCTGAATTTGTAGGACTATGATGTTACCTTTCCACAGGTCTTCACAGGAGGGATCCAGCCACCCTCAAACTGTGCTTGATAAGACGTGCCAAAGTAGGAGCATCTATCACCTTTAATTGTGGGAATTCCTCCTGCCAAACAACACAGGGAGGGAATGATCTGAGTTACTCCTTTGCAGTTCTCAATTACAGTTCTTAGGAAGTATCAGAAACTGACATGGGAAGTAGGGTTCCAAGGCAGCTGCTCTCTGCCCAGTCTCACACTGACCCGGAGTACCTACCCACTAAAACTAAAGGAAAAGGCTATTCAGCCTTGGCTACTTCATCCCTGACAACCCTTCAGCCTGGGGCGCTGTCTGCCTAGAACAAACAGATTTTGTGCTGCCCATCCCCCAGTCACTGGGTTTAGGAGACCATGATGGCTCTCAGGTTGGGCAAATATCCAGAGCTAAGAAATCAGGATCTGATAGCAAGGGCACAAAGTGGCCTTTTCCACAGATCAAAGATCACTCTCTCCTGGCTGAAAAGCAAACAGACCACCACTGAAGGAGCAAATTCCTCTGGCCCGACTCTGGAACTAAGGCCCCAGTTCAGCAAAGCCCTTAAGCATAGGCTTTGTGAGTGGGAACTGACTTCTTTAACAATATTGCATCTTGGCTCTCCTGTAATTGCCTAGTGTGATGAGGTCCCTGGCTGGCATGGCAAGTAAATGCATTCACTAGCCTTTCAACTCTGGAGGTCTGGGTCCAAATTCTGCACTAGGTCACTAAGGTGCACAGATGGGGTCTACTGACACACACACCACACAAAACCGCCACAGTTTTGCACAGCTGGCAGCCTAAGCTAAAGAGAAGTGCGGACTGTAACAGAAACCAGGGATATTGGGACTGCTGCAAGGCAGGATTGTGTACACCAGCCAAGCTATGGAGCAGGGGCCAAGACTAGCATATCAGAGGGTGCTGCAGGTAAAGAGGAAGGTCCACTGGCAGAGCTGCATAGTGAAAACTTGTATCATGTGTACCGCCAGCCACTGCTATAAGCCTCTCACTATCATGAGCATCAAATTCACACATGAAAATATAAAAGGGAAACCAGTGATATTTAAATATTTCTAGATCCTAAAAGTCAGCACTTTGATGATGGACTCCACTCACTACAGCAAACACAGACTTAAACTGGCTGTAATGGGAACCTAAACCAAGCCAATGAAAACCCCAGTGCCCGTGAATGCCACCTGCCCTGAGAATTGTGAGGCCACAGCCCGACAGAGAGAGCCCAAAACAACTCACCCAGATGTACACATGGCGCTTTGGCAATGGGCTCGAGTATCTCATATGCTGGGTATGAAAAATGATAGACAGAAGGCAGGAACTTTAGTTTGTCTTTGTCTCCACAAGGAAAATGATCTTCCTCCTTACTGTAATCAGCTCTGGTGGAGGCTGGTCTCTGCAGAATCACGTCTGGCCAGGGGTAGCTCTCCCTTGCAGCTGAGGTGAAAATTTTGGTCTGGGAATCTGCATGCATTCGGAGGTGAGATTCTGGTGGACAGACTTTGGGCTTTGGTTCCAGGGATCTCACTGGAAATGCCAGGTGGGTTTCTGACCAGGTTTCCTTGGCTTTATCCATATCCTGATTCAAAACATCCTTGGAGTTTGGAAGCAGAATTGGGTCTGGTTTGTAACTGCCCCATAAAGGAGGGAAATCAGTGCGGAAAGGAGATTCAACAACGTTTCCCTGTGGTCTGTGGTCAAACCCTATCTGAAAATGTGAGGCCTTTAGGAAGGGAATCCCTGTGAGCGGGGCTGGGATTAACGACTGGCCAGTGGCTGCCATTTTCCCCTGTAAAGGAAGAGACATAATATCAGACTCAGGTGCATTGCTGCTTTGGTCCCTTCCTAAAGCAAGAGGCTCCAAGAGATAAGGAGGAACAGGAGATAAGGATCTTTATTCTCCGACTGTTCCTTACAAGATGTCCAATTAAGGCCCAGAAGCAGTCACCTGTGAATTGCACACATTTGCACTCACTGCAATGAAATGAGCTCCCAACAATCCCAGAACTGCAGGTACATCCTCCCATGGAGCTGTCCTGCTGTCCCCCTAGATCAGTGGTTCTCAAACTTTTGTACTAGAGACCCTTTTCACATAGCAAGCCTCTGTGTGCAACTCCCCTTATAAATTAAAAACACTTTTTAACCCCCAGTCTGAGAACCCCTGCCCTAGATGCCGCCATGATAAGGGCTGCCCAGAAGCAACTGGGACTTTGTCCTGCCTCAGATACAAATTCATCTCTGCTGTCAATCCATACACATTGAAGGGTTACTACTGGGAAGAATCTGGGCCACAGAATCTCAGGGATTTATGGGAGTTTAGCATGCAGGAAGTTGGCCTTTTGGACCACTTGCTAATCACCCAGTGCCAGGCTCTAGGATATTTCTAACAGAATTATTGGAATTGGAACCAAAAGGGCAATATTTTAAAATATGGCCAAATGGGGTCAGATGCTAGAGGGACATTAGCCAATCTCCCTCATACAGGATTGGATGTGCCATGTGTATAGTCAGTGCCTATTACCCCAGCTGAGACTCAAACTGGGCCTCAAGTAGTTCAGATAGCAGTTTTATAGCATGAACCAAAAGCTGCCTGCCCCAAAAGCAAATCAATAGGACCCAGGCTGAGCTAAGCTGGGCTGGGAGTCGCTTCCCCTCTGGCTGAGTGAGTAAGAGCCACACTGTCCTAGTCTCAGCTGGGACTCACTTCCCATGGCCAAGCTGGTCAAAGGAGTGGTGCTAAAATGGTCTTGGCTGGGAGAGGCACTTCCCATATCTGACAGGAAAGTCTGAATGGGTTCTCTTATATAAATGGCCATGCACATAAATCATGAGTTTGGGTAGAGCCCCATGCCAGCAGGCGTCTATGGACACTAGCCCAGAGCACACCTCAATGGTCCAAATTAATGCAAAGCATTTAAGTGTGTTTAATAAACAGCTGCATGTGTATCAGAGATGGTCTTTCCTATAAACATTAAGAGATTAAATTATCTTTCTAAGGTGACTGACTTTGATCAATGTATTATTATTATTCCTTGCACCCCAATCAGCCATCATTGTGCTGGTACACACTTACAATGAAATAACAGGCCCAAGAATTTATAACCTAAATAGCCATAAATTGGCCAGACGCATCAAACACAAGACACCAGACAAGAAAAGGAATTATTTAGATTTAGAAAAGGAGAACTGAAGACAACCTAAACCCAGTGAGTAACAGCCAATGGGGCAAATCCTAAAAAAGGAGCTGGCTCAGCAGGAGTTCACACACTAACTAGCATCTGACAACAGAACTGAGGCCTCACACAATAATGCTAATCAACGTTTCTCTTCCTTTGAGCCCTCAAAGGGTACCCCTCATCCATTCATTGCCCCTGAGACAAGTCGACTGTAACTCACCTCCACCCAAAGCTAAACAATCAACTTTAGAATTTTCAGTGTCCTGTGATGTTATCATAAAATCATCATGTCATAATGGAATCTCAGCAATGGAGAGGTGAGGAAGATGATGTCTGGAGTAACAAATATGGAGAAAGTGAGAACAAGAAACAGATAAATTACTGGGCAGCAAGAGAGCTAAAGGGAAGGAGAGCATGCACATGAGAGGGTAAGTTACAGGTGCTAGTGACACAAGATTTCAGAGAAGCAGCAGTGCCTAAGCCCAGCATGGGCAAGATCACTACCGTCCCCATCAAACCCCGTCTGCTGCCCCACAACAGCTCATGGCTGGGTGGCGACATCGTGGGATTGTGACATCACAGGTAAATCAGCCAGTCAACAACCCTCTATCCCAGCCCAGGGAGCGAAGCTACCATACCCTCATTCGCAAACCTGAGGCCGGACTCAGCAAAGCTGGGAGCAGGAGGCACACGCAGAACAGACACGGAACGGAACGTGCAATTTGTGAACGAGAGTTTGGTCGCTCTGCTCCCTCGGCTGGCCGGGGCTGAAAGAGTAACGGGGGAGAAGGGGATATGAGGTCAGCTCAGAGTAGAAGCACCACACATCACATGTAAAAAGAAAAGGAGTACTGGTGGCACCTTAGAGACTAACCAATTTATTTGAGCATGAGCTTTCGTGAGCTACAGTACATCACATGTACACAACCCAGCGGTTTCTCACACGCTCTCAAGAAGTTGCTAGTCCATGTCTCACTCTCCCGGTTCTTCACAGACTGGGAAAAGGATATGGAGACTTTCAGGCCCAGGTCAACAGGGAGGACAAATCCTCAGCCACCTGGGCCGCTGCCCATGCAAGGGCGCTGCCAGCCAGTCTCGGCAGTAACACGGAGGAAGGATGGTCGCTCCTTCGCAGGATGTAGGCTGGCAAAGCTGGCACTGCGGCCGGCCGGGAAGGACTTCGCTCTGCCCTGGGGTGCAGCGAGCACAGCGGCCCCCGCCCACGCCGCCTGCCCCCCGGCTGTGAACAAGACCCCTCCTGACGAAGGGGGGAGCGAGCGCCCTTGAGACAGGCCGGCGGCACCAGCAGCACCGGGAAGCTGGTAACAGCTCGGGGCGCTCGAGCGGAACCACCACAGGGGCTGGTGCCGCGAGGCGCCGGGGAACTCGCACCACCCGCCTGAGAGGGGACATGGGTGTCACAGGGGGGCCGGGGACCCACAGCCCGCGGGCCAGGCCCCGCCCGCCCAGGCCCCAGCCATTCCCAGCTGCCTCCCAGGCGCTCCTGGCAGGGGAGCTGCGGCCTAGCCAGAGACAGAGCCCGCCCCACCGCACACAGGGACGGGGCACGGTCGCCATAGCGACAGCGATCCCCCAGCAGGCACCGCGCCATCCCGGGGACGCCCGGAGCGCCCAAACGTCATCACGCTGCTAACGTACGGCCCCGTGGCGGCTAGTAACCCGGAAGTGTTGCCATGGCGGCAGCTGCGGACCCGCTCGGCAGCCTGGTCTCGGCGCTGGAGTCGTACCGCGGCCGCGACCGAGTGGTGCGTGGCGGGGTCCGGGCCCCGCTCACCGGGGCGGCAGGGTTTACGGGGGGGCGGTCGGGTTACCGAGGGGAGACGTGGGCCGTACCGGGGCTGCGCTCTCTAACCCCCCTTCCCCCCCAGATCCGGACCCTGTGCTATGGCTGCCAGCTGGCCGGGGGGGTCCTGGCCCGGAAAAGCCCCACGGAGTCCGAGATGGGCAGGAGGCTCCTGGCTGTGTCAGCCCAGCTGAGCCACTGCCGGACGGTGCTGCGCCTCTTCGATGATCTCGCCATGCTCGCCTACAGCCGCCAGTACGGGCTGGGTGCCAAGGTAACCAGCCCCTTTCTGCCCCAGGCATGGGCGAGGGGGGTCCCTGCCCCCTTCTCCCCTGGGATCAGGGACAGGCCGGGCGCTCTGTGCTGTGGGAGACCGAGTGCCCTGTGCAGCGCGACATCCAAGGGCCCAATCCTGCAAAATGCTGCCCTCTCCCCGCGCTGCTGACTGAGGAGGAGGCGCCTGCGGGGGCCGGAGGCCAGATCGATACCTAGACAGCTGGTCCCCGTGTAGGCTTGGGCCTGCTGTGCAGCATTAGCTAAGGTCTAATGACCTCTCCTGTGCTCAGAGGCCTCAGCTACCACATATTCCTCTGAAGCATTCGTATTCTTTATTTGAATTGCGGTGTCCCCCACTGGGAACAGACCCTGCGCACCAAGTGCTGTCCAACCGCCCAGGAAGACATGAGCCCTGTTGCCCTTGGCAGCTCACGTGCTAAGAAATCTTTACAGTTTTCCATGGCTGTGCTAAGATACAGTGGAGTTTCAAAGTGAATGTTACAGACAGGCTAGTCCTTAGGCTCACTTTCTCAAACTTGCAAACTACTCTGTTCACTAAAATGTATTTTGGACTAAGCACATTCCAAGAAATGGTATTGATAAACTTCACCGTTCTTTGTATTTTAAGACAAATACAGGCTTCTCCTGTAACTGCTATAGAAGTGCAAGCAACTTCAGAAGTGTGGGTCCCTGGCCTAGCTGCCTGAGGGGATTGTTAAAGGGCTGTGGAGGTCTCTGGTTCCAATCCAGCCTTCACTTCCAAGGCCTATCTCTACCCTACCCATCATCTCTCAGTAGCAAAAGGTTGACTTCTACCTCCCGTTGGCTTATAATGCCAGCCTTCCTCACCCACTTGTTACATTTTCAAACAAACACCTTCCTGTTTTCTCCCATGTTGCCCCTCACATGGAAGAAACTCTCTGTAAACTTAAAGCTACCTCATTCTCCACCTTCAAATCTCCCCTTAAAACTCTTCTCTGACACGATGCCTACAAAAAACTTGACAGCAGTTAGATCACTGGTGTGCTGAGACCACAGTCTATCATATTGACCAATAGCGTCTCATTATTTCCTTTTACTCCACTTCTGTCTCTATCCATTGTCTCTTTTTCATATTCTTAGACTGTAAGTTCCTTGGGGCAAAGTCCATACTTTTCTTTTGTCTGTACAGCGCCTAGCACTGTGGGGTCCATAATATAAATAATAACAGAATGGCAGCCTCCAGGGCTCTCGCTCCCTCACTTTTCATCATTGTGAAATGTATTTTTTTAAACAACAAAATAGGGTGAGAGCAAAAACCTTGCTGGCTTTTGTGGAGATTCCTGCAGAGATGTCCCTTGCTGGCTCAGCTGAGAGTCCCTGCTTGATGGATATTCATGAGAAACTGCAAGTTCATTGCCGTATGCTGGATATAAAATACAGGATATGTTAGTGATGTGCCTTGTTTTCATTCTCTGTTCTCAGAAAGAAGCTAAGCTTGTTCTTAGGGCTGCAAGGAAGCTGGATTAGCCATGCTGCTGCAAGGTGCAGTGTACAGACTAACCTGTGGTGTCAAGAAAGCAGCCACTATTAAGTTCTTGCCTGTCTCTGTGCTACAGGAAGAAGATGCCATTGTCCGCTGGCTCTCTGTCCTCAGTAACCTGGCTGATCAGCTCTACTACCCCTGTGAGCACGTAGCATGGGCTGCCGATGCCGATGTTATTCGCACAAACTCACACAAGTGGTGGACATTAAGCACAGCTTTCTGGGTGCTCTCCCTAGTCCTGGGCATTGTACGGTAATGTTCACTAGATGCAGCTCTTAAAAGGGTATGAGGGGAACGCTATCTCCACTTCTGGGGCCTAGCAGAAAGGCTTACTGGCCACAGATCTTAGGAGGGGCTCTGGCTGTTCCTGGGGGCTGGGCAATGGTAACACTGTGGTTTTGGATTATCTACTAACCTTGTTGTTACTCTTCTGAAGTTTTAACTCCTCAGAATCCGAAGCCTTGGCATCCATCTTCAGAAGGAAGCTGTGCTATTTGTAACAGACACTCTGGAAACTAAGAGGATTCTGAGTGATCCTAAAATTTAGTGCTAGAAATCCTCCTAGCCTGTAGGGTATTGGTAAATTTTTAGTGGTGACTATTACCATCTTGCTAATCATGAGACTTTTCTAGTCCAGAGACAGTCTCCTGAGCCACCCACTAGGATGAAAAAATAAATGTCTTCCTCACCTCTCAATGTATTCCTTGATGTAGGGGAAGAGGCAAATAAAAATTTCCCAGTCTGAGCTAAAGTTCTGCCTTAAAAGGGGCCCGCAAAAGTATGGTGGGAAGGAGATGGGACTGATGCACTTTTTTTTGACTGCCATATGAGTGGAGGCCTGGAAGATTTTAAGTTTTCTTCACCTTCTATTTTACACTAGAGATTCAGTTCTTGTATATGCTATTTTGAGGAAGACTGAGCTCGCACATCTGCTGTTTCCAAAGTAAAAACATAACCAGAAATGCATCTCTTCTTCTTCGTCTTCTTCTTCTGACAGTACAAACCCTTTCAGATGGTTTTCTTTTTTTCTGACACCTAAAGGACACACATCCTTCCAGCCCCACCCAGTTTGTAGGGCACCTTTATGTGAGCTGTTTCCTCGTTACATTGTTTATCCCATCTAGTGAAACAGCAAATGGGAAAAATAGTTCAGTTTCCAACACAAGCAAATAAAGCCAAGTGGGAAAACATGGGAACCCTGAAGTTAGAGCCCCTCCCTTCTGTTAGCCAGATGTTTAGCTGGTAAATATGATTCAATTGTAAACTGAATTGGACTCTACTATAAAATTATCTCAAGATAGTTTTGCCCCATTTCCTTTTTTCTTGCTGCAGTAAGTGAATCCTCTAGTCTTCACATTAAGTGTTAACTTTCTGCTGTTACCACTTAAGAAAGTGTTCTTGGAGTCATTGTGGATAATTCTCTGAAAACATCTGCTTTAATGTGTGGCAGCAGTCAAAAAGACTAACAGAATGTTAGGAACCATTAGGAAAGGGATAGATAATAAGACAGAAAATATCATAATGCCACTTAATAAATCCATAGTATGGCTTCACCTTGAATACTGTATATAGATCTGGCCACCTCATCTCCAAAAATATATATTAGAAT